CCACCCACTAGGCTCACTGTCGTTACCGTCCAAGCCACAAGGCACGCCCACTGACGGTTTTCTGTATATAGTTCTGACCGCTTAACTGTTTTATTTTACGGTATGCTTATGTTGTTCCCCCCTTCTACCTCCTCCCCCACTTGCTGCTCTCGAGACACCCCAGGAGTAAATCACAAGGCTACACGAGTGACAATAGTACCCGATGATCGTGACGACACCCCCCTACACTACATGATATGAGCCATGGCCCCCCATCTGGTAATAACGCTTTAAAAAGTCAATATGGATCAACTCCCTTCCGCATCTCTGCTGAGGAACATGACAGGACGAACAGCCACATACTGCTGCATGTTACGACCACCGCATGGGCAGGGTCCCTGGCCAAATGGTCCCTATCTAAAAGGGCCCAGCCCTGCCGCATCACGACATAAGAGATATACTGGGACCAGATAATACAGGGGATCTCTCTACCTATCGCCTTTTAAACTTGGCTGCCCAACATCTCCCTCCAAAATGACACTCAGTATACTATCCCTCAACACTAAGGGCCTAAACACCTCAAATAAACACAGGCTGGCATTGAAAGAGGCTAGGAAACACAGGGCACACGTAACCTTCTACCAAGGGACCCATTTCCAATGGGGAAATAGACCCAAATTCTGTTCCAAAAGTTCCTCCATGACATTCACTCATGCTACAAAACGAAAAAACATGGGGTGTCAATTCTGACAGGTGGCATTCTCACTGGTCAAAAAAATTCACGATAAAAATGGACGGTACCTACTGATCCAATGCTATATCAACAATGTGCCATACACACTCATTAACATATATGGCCCACACACAAACCAAACAGAATTCTCAGACAAAATATTTGCTTTGGCCACCATGCATGAATTTGGAGAAGTCATCATTGGGGCCGACACTAACTTCCTCCTAGACTGCTCCCTTGACTCCACGTCCACCCATAAGCTAGCCAAACCATCAGCACGCAAACAAAGCAGAGCAACTTCTCTACAGTATAACCAAATCCTGAAACATAACTTCCTACACCTCTGGCGAGTCCTTCATCTCGTAGAAAGAGACTACACCTTTCACTCACCAGTCCATTACACATATACGAGGATCGATAGGTTCCTCATACCGACCAAGATATTGCATAAGGTACACAAACCATGCCCCGATAAATCTGGTCCTAGAAGAAAACTTCCCCACAGCAGTCAAAGAATCATGGAGACTTAATGACTCCCTACTACAAGACCCACGTATTGTCACACAAATTAGAGCGGACCTCACCGTCTACTTCCACACTAATACGACCCCCGACATAGACATAGCCACAATCTGGCAAGCACACAAAGCTGCCATAAGAGGCCTCCACATCAAAGCAGGCAGCTATGCCAAAAAACAACAGCTTAAAGCATATATTGACTTATATCAGAAATAACAGGCCTCACTCATAGGAATAAAACAGACCCTACGCAGGCCTTTCAACATAGGCTCTTTGCGCTACAAACCAAGCTCCGAGACCTAGAGTTAGAGAAAATGACTTATATGCTTCAACGCTACAAGTACAACTTTTTCACACAAGGAAATAGAGCAGGAGCACTACTAGCTGCACCGCTCAAAGCACCAACCACTCACGCAAAGGTAGCATACATTCACACAGCCTCTAAACAGAAGCTTACAAACCCACAAGACATAGTCAATAGTCAACGCATTCTCCTCCTACTACAGCACACTATACAACCTTAAAGAGGACCCAGAAACTACGCCACCCCCGTAAGTGCTGTTCAAGACATCTTGTCTCGAGTGGATCTCCCCAAGTTATCTCCGGAAGACATTGACTCCCTCTCTACGCCATTCACTATCCAAGAAATAGAGAAAGCAATCAAACAATTACCCAAACACAATCCAGCCCAGATGGCTACATTAACTTATACTACCACACTTATGTACACACTCTATCCCCACACCTGACTACGCTTTTCAACAAATGCTTCTCGGAGAGAACCTCGCCCCAGAGATGCTTATGGCTCACATTTCCACCCTACCAAAACCAGACAAGACCCCGACACAGTGCCAAAATTTCAGACACATCTCCCTCCTAAACGGGGATGTTAAACTCTACGCCAAACTTCTCACAAACCGACTGTCCAATATCCTCCCAATACTAATGACCAAGCAGGCTTCATAAAAGCAAGACAAGGCTCAGACAATGAAGGAAAATTCTAAATATTCTCTTACATGTACACGCCACACAAGGCAAAAGCCTTCTCCTAGCGCTCGACGCAGAGGAGGCCTTTGACAGACTGAACTGGGACTACATGCAACGTGTCCTGCACACTTTTCGCTTCACCCCACTAATAATTTCTGGTGTTATGGCCCTCTACAATGCCCTGACAGCACAGGTAACTAATGCAGGCTTCATGTCTACCCCACTCAACATTTCCAATGGTACCAGACAAGGGTGTCCCCTGTCTCCATTACTGTTTGTCCTGTCCCTGGAGCCACTGGCACATATCATCAGACATCACCCAACCATCAAAGACATCAAGCTAGGCTCGACCGAATACAAACTCCCCATGTTCGCAGACGATATCCTGCTAATACTGAGCGAAGTGCCCACAATACTGCCTACATTATTACAACTCCTAGAAACATATGGTAAACTAGCATACTATAAATTAAACCAGACTAAAATACACGCCTTAACCATAAGTCTCCCACAAAACCTCATTCAAGAACTTACACAAAAGTACAACTTTGACTGGAGGGTCTATTATATCACCTACTTAGGGGTAAAAATTGCACCCACAATGGATCAAGTATTCAACTATAATTATAAACTGCTACTCAACCTCTGCAAATCAGAATTCCTACGCTGGAAACCAGTAAAGTTATCATGGCTGGGTAGAATCAACACCATTAAAATGAGTCTCTTTACAAAACTACTGTACATATTCTTTCTCCTACAAATCCAGGCCCCACCATTATTTTTTAAGAAACTCCAAGTTCTGTCCTCCTTCATTCGGGACTCCCACAAGCCCAGACTCTCCCAACACTTTTTACAGAAGAGTACGAACGAGGGCGGGGTAGGCCTCCCAGACATTACACCTACAATAAAGCAGCCAATTTGGAAACAGCAGTGAAATTGCATGCCACTAAAGGTGTGTACCAATGGGTGGACACGGAGAACGCAAAATCCACTAACACACCCCTAGTAAATATACTATGGACCCCCAAGACACTGCGTCCTAAAAATAGAACCCTCTTCACCACTGGGACACACTGCGTCATAGGCAAGACACCATGTACACATTCCACCCAGATTCCCTATTGGCAGCCCTACGAGCAGTATCACTCTGGCTCTCACTCAACTCTTGGGTTAAAATATCCACGCTAGGCCAGGTTATGCACTTCGATCATATTAAGCTGTTCCCAGGCCTGCAGAGAGAATTTAAACTACCTAACTCCTCTGTGTTCCCCTATATGCAATTCAAAAGCATAATACCCTCACATGTCTCCACGTGTACTGTCAATCGAAACTCAAGTTCTGTCAATCTCAAAGGATTGTATGATAGATGCTGGCAGGCTCCAACCAAAACCAAATCCTTCTCCCTGTGTTACCAAACTATTCTCCAAACAACACCACCAAAACCTCCGTCTTTCGTGACCTAATGGCTTATGGAATGCAACCTGCTTACATCCGACAACGAAGTGTTGTCATCCCTTACCGCACTCAAAGGTCTCACACACTGATACTCCCACATTGAGGCCCACAAGAAGTTAATTTACAGGTGGTTCCTAACACCAAACAGGCACCACAAGATGTACGAGGCGGTTTCACCGTATTGCTGGAGATGTGGGGTTGACATTGGGAAGAAGCGCAGCATACCTTGCAGACCATTGGCATCACTGAACCACCCCTTGATATACACACTCCTATTCCCAACCAACACCGGTGCACACAAAACGCATAATGGCAATTGTTACACTGGCGGTGAGAAACCTAGGCGCGAACCAGTGGAAAAAACCGCACTGCCTTTCCAAACTCCAACTATTATCCAAAATTCAACCATATTACATATATGAAAGCATGTCCACTAAGACCACTGCACAAAGGGAATACTTTCACACTTCTTGGACATCCTGTGTAGAATATTGGAATACACAGACCTCACACATACCCCCTAGCAGTGGCGTACATACCGCCCTGCGACCCGGTATGCATGCCAGTGTGGCCAGACTCTTCTCCTGGGGGGGCCCAGGAGCTGGCCACCTCATGGACTCCCAAGGCTGGCCCTGTTGTCACTGGGCGGCCAGTCCTGCGGTGTGTGAGGGAGCACTGTCCCCTGAGCACTCTCTGTCCAGCTTCCTCGCGCACCACGTACTGATGATCCAGCATCATTAAGCGGCGTGCGAGGGAGCTGGGCAGAGAGTGCAAGGGGAGAGTGCTCCCTCGCGCGCCTGCCAGCCCGACAGACAGCCAGCCCGGTGACCGGCTGCCCAGCAGCATCACTGGACCCCAGGGAATCCCCTCAACTCTCCCAAAGGTAAGGAGGCTGGGAGGTTAAATTTAAAAAAAAAAAGTGTTTGTGTATGTGTGTTAGTGTTAGAGTGTGTGTGTGTTAGTGTTAGAGTGTGTGTGTCTGCTAGTAAGTGTTAGTGAGTGTGTTAGTTTGTTTGTCAGTGTGTTACTGTGTGTGTCTGTTACTGAGTGTGTTTGTGTGTGTCTGTTAGTGAGTCTGTTTGATGCCTGTTAGTGAGTGTGTGTTTGTCAGTGAGAGTGTATGTTTTGTAAGTGAGTGTGTATGTGTGTCTGTCTGTCAGTGAGTATGTATGTATGTCGCTGAGTGTGTCTCTGTCAGTAAATGTGTATGTCTGTTAGCTAGTGTGTATGCGTCTGTTCGTGAAAGTGTGTGTGTTTAAAACTCCTTCAGCACTTACCTTTCTCCAGCACCGGACTCCCTTGGCGCTGGGTATCCCTCGGCCCAGTTCCGCCTCTCAGCTCCGAATGCGCAAGAGGCAAGAGCTGCGCGCGCATTCAAACCGCCCATAGGAAAGCATCACTCAATGCTTTCCTATGGACATCCAGCGTCTTCTCACTGTGATTTTCACCGTGAGAATTGTGGAAGTGCCTCTAGCGGCTGTCAGTGAGACAGTCACTAGAGGCTGGATTAACCCTCAGTGAAACATAGCAGTTTCTCTGAAACTGCTATGTTTTCAGCTGCAGGGTTAAAACTAGAGGGACCTGGCACCCAGACCACTTCATTGATGTGATCTGGGTGTCTGACCAGGTGCGGCCGCCATGTGTTGTGGCACCGGTCCGCGCAGAGTAAACGCGGGGGGAGGAGGCCCACGGATACATTTTCGCACCGAGGCCCCATGGGTCGTGTGTACGCCAAAAGGTTAAAAAAGAAGAAAGGTTAAAAAATGTAAATCTGTTTAGTTTGGAAAAACGGCGCCTCAGAGGGGATATGATAACATTATACAAATATATTCGGGGGCCAGTACAAACCTTTATCTGGAAATCTATTCATAAACAGGGCTATACATAGGACACAAGGTCACACATTCAGGCTGGAAGAAAGGAGATTTCATCTAAAGCAAAGAAAAGTTTTTTTTTACAGTAAGAGCAATAAGGATATAGAATTCTCTGAAGAGGTGGTTTTGGCAGAGTCCATACAGATGTTTAAACTGAAATTGGATAAATACTCGCAAAAACATAACATACAGGTCAAGAAGGAAATTTTCCCTAGTTTGTTGCAAAAGGAAGCTCTTCAGACTAGGTTTTTTGCCTTCTTTTGGATCAACAGCAAAAAACATATGTGAGGAAGGCTGAACTTGATGGACGCAAGTCTCTTTTCAGCTATGTAACTATGTAACTATGTACTATGTAATACCAGACACAGCGAACCAAATTGCTACCTTCAAATTTTTCTTCTAATTAAAAGCTGAAAACACAGCCTTAGTTCACTGAACTAGTATGCCAGAGGACATACCTTGAGTCTATTGACCTCGCACAATCTAACGATGCACTGTCATGACACGGAGATCTGGTAAGGGTGCATGAAATGTAAAGATGAAATGTTATCTTAAACAGAAACTGTAACATGCATATAAGGAGAATGTAAAATAGTACAATGTCCTAAAAATACCGCACAATGTACTGAATATGTCACTGAAAGTTTTTCATGCCCACTCTGAAACTTACCCATGTCAAGTATGCAGAAAGATTTCCGTAAGGGCTGCCGTCTGGCTCACATACAGAAATCTACTCTATGGTAATTGCGACCCTAAAATGTATGCCTCAAGACTACTGCTGTCATGTACCACAAAACACCAATGCATACTTCCTACCCCAATAAAAACAATAACAAAGGCTGCGCACATAAAATAAAGTCCAATTAAAGGAAAAAGAAAAAAGTCCAACCGGTTTATCCTTACAGGTGTCCTTGGTTGATGGGGTCTTCTACTTTTGTGGTGGTTTCACTTATTATGAAAGATAAAAAGAGGAAAAGGGGGACAACCAATGGTGTAGTACGTAAAATTCAGGTATAGACGTAAAAATAATAGTATAAAACTCACATTTACCAGAGCTAATGTCCAGCTCTGGAGTAAAGCGCGTACAGCGGTTTAATCCCCGCTTATGGGATATAAGGCAGGTTCCTCTCCGTGAATGGTATCCAATTCTCGGGATAAAACAAACAGCCAATAGTGCTCAATGTATGGCAAATATTGGTAAAATAATAAAAGAAATGTACTTACAAAATAAGAGCAGACCCACTGCTCTTTGATGATAGCTTGGGTGGATTGATCCCCACCTATGGATTTCTTTGGGTACAGGAAACTTCCAGGAATTTTTAAGGTTTCTTTATAAAACCAGTAAAAAATAATTAAAATAACAATAAAAGGCCAGGGTAAAAAAGAAAGGTATGTGTCTATAAAAAAGATAATTGGCACAAACAAATGACCAAAAATACTTTAATATATATAAAAAACACAATATTCAAATATCCATAACGCGTTTCGTCACAAAAGGACTTTTTCAAATGTTATTGTTATTGTTTTTATTTCATCTTGTCTTAAAGGGTTTGAGGGATTCCCTTTCTTAAGGTTGCTGCCAAAAAAGTTATTTAGCGCTGTCTCATTCTTTGTATTTATTATATACTCCCTACCCCAACCCACCCCTTCTCTTTTTTCTGTAATCCTTCCCCATTTATATTTAAAAAACAGCAATAAAACATTGAATGATAAAAAAAAAAAGTGTAACCACACTTTCAGCCTTTCCCATAGGTGGATTAAAAATAAATGCCATGAACACAAGTGTCAAGCCATTAAGGATATGGGACAGCACATGGGAATTCCCAGCATCATGACTACCACTGTTGTTATGGTTCTTAGAGTTCTCCTTTAGTGATAAACCTGGGAGAAGCTATTTTTTTTATTTGTATTTTATTTTGTTTTGATTTACCAATGGCTGCTACAAACAGCTAAACAAAATTTTTGACAGTAGCCTTTTATTTTTAGGTAATTCTTACTAATAATGTAGTCTCTATGTATACACATATACACTTCATATCACCTGACATTCTTTGTCTGTTTTTTTTCTTAACTAAAAGGTACACAACACATTCAGTTTGAGAAGAAGGTAGTAATGTAACCTTACATTCCAACAAGATTCATTCTGCTTGATACCTGTAACGTAAATCGACTGTTTAAGAAGAAAATTGGACTTGATTGAAAGAACATTAACACATATTCTCATTCAATGCCTTGCCCATCATTGCTGAGTCTGGTACTGCAGCTGAAAGCTTTGTTACAAGAGATCTGTTATGTACTAGTGTTATTAGAGGGATTTGTTGGGCAGAAAAAAACTGCTAAAAGTGTAAAAAGTCAGCCTCAATATATGGCTGTATACTACTTGTTACCACCATCTGCAATATATTAAAAACAAGCCTTCCTTGTAGTGATGTCCGCTTGTTCGCATTCGCCACGGATGGCGAACATATGCACTGTTCGGTCCGCCCCTATTCGTCATGATTGAGTAAACTTTGACCCTGTACCTCACAGTCAGAAGACACATTCCAGCCAATCAGCAGCAGACCCTCCCTCCCAGACCCTCCCACCTCCTGGACAGCATCCATTTTTATTTCATTGTGAAGCTGCATTCTTAGTGAGAGGAGGGACAGTGTAGCTGCTGCTGATTTGATAGGGAAATTGATAGCTAGGCTAGTGTATTCAGTGTCCACTACAGTCCTGAAGGACTCATCTGATCTCTGCTGTAAGGACAGCACCCCAAAAAGCCCTTTTTAGGGCTAGAACATCAGTCTGCTTTTTTTTCTGTGTAATGTAATTGCAGTTGCCTGCCTGCCAGCCTGTGTGTCAGGCTCACAGCATATACTGTGCCCACTTGCCCAGTGCCACCACTCACTCACTGGTGTCACAATAGCTTGCATTTAAAAAAAACAAAACTTTTTGGACTGTAATATAATAGCAGTCAGTTTCCTTCACGAGTGTGCGTTTCAGGGCCTGCCCAGTGCCACCACTCACTCACTGGTGTCCCAATAGCTTGCATTTAAAAAAAACAAAACTTTTTTGACTGTAATGTAATAGCAGTCAGTTTCCTTCACGAGTGTGCGTTTCAAGGCCTGCCCAGTGCCACCACTCACTCACTGGTGTCCCAATAGCTTGCATTTAAAAAAAACTAAACTTTTTGGACTGTAATATAATAGCAGTCAGTTTCCTTCACGAGTGTGCGTTTCAGGGCCTGCCCAGTGCCACCACTCACTCACTGGTGTCCCAATAGCTTGCATTTAAAAAAAACAAAACTTTTTTGACTGTAATATAATAGCAGTCAGTTTCCTTCATGAGTGTGCGTTTCAGGGCCTGCCCAGTGCCACCACTCACTCACTGGTGTCCCAATAGCTTGCATTTAAAAAAAAAAAAAAACTTTTTTGACTGTAATATAATAGCAGTCAGTTTCCTTCATGAGTGTGTGTTTAAGGGCCTGCCCAGTGCCACCACTCACTCACTGGTGTCACAATAGCTTGCATTTAAAAAAAAACAACAACTTTTTGGACAGTAATATAATAGCAGTCAGTTTCCTTCATGCGTGTGTGTCAAAAAAAATTAATCCAATTTTGACTGTAATAGATTGAATAGCAGTTAGTTGTCTGCCAGCGTGTGTGTCAGGCTCACAGCATATACTGTGCCCACTTGCCCAGTGCCACCACTCACTCACTGGTGTCACAATAGCTTGCATTTAAAAAACAAAACAAAAACTTTTTGGACTGTAATATAATAGCAGTCAGTTTCCTTCACGCGTGTGCGTTTCAGGGCCTGCCCAGTGCCACCACTCACTCACTGGTGTCCCAATAGCTTGCATTTAAAAAAAACAAAACTTTTTTGACTGTAATGTAATAGCAGTCAGTTTCCTTCACGAGTGTGTGTTTCAAGGCCTGCCCAGTGCCACCACTCACTCACTGGTGTCCCAATAGCTTGCATTTAAAAAAAACTAAACTTTTTGGACTGTAATATAATAGCAGTCAGTTTCCTTCACGTGTGTGCGTTTCAGGGCCTGCCCAGTGCCACCACTCACTCACTGGTGTCACAATAGCTTGCATTTAAAAAAAACTAAACTTTTTTGACTGTAATATAATCGCAGTCAGTTTCCTTCATGAGTGTGCGTTTCAGGGCCTGCCCAGTGCCACCACTCACTCACTGGTGTCCCAATAGCTTGCATTTAAAAAAAACAACAACTTTTTGGACAGTAATATAATAGCAGTCAGTTTCCTTCATGCGTGTGTGTCAAAAAAAAATAAATCCAATTTTGACTGTAATAGATTGAATAGCAGTTAGTTGTCTGCCAGCGTGTGTGTCAGGCTCACAGCGTATACTGTGCCCACTTGACCAGTGTCACCACTCGTATCCGGTGTCACAATAGCTTGCATTTAACAAAAAAAAAAACTTTTTGGACTGTAATATAATAGCAGTCAGTTTCCTTCACACGTGTGCATTTCAGGGCCTGCCATGGCACAGTGTCACACCAGTGCAACTCATATCTGGTGTAACAGTAGTGTACATTTGAAAAAAAAATATTTTTTTGACTGTAATAGATTGAATAGCAGTTAGTTGTCTGCAAGCGTGTGTGTCAGGCCTACAGAGTCTACTCTGCCAACTTCTGCCACTGCACAGTGCCACTCATATCTGTTGTCACAGCAGCTTGCACGCATAGTACCAAAAAAAATG